AATGCATAACGATAAAGAATAAATAAGCAATATTACACATTACCATTACTAAAAAGACAAGGATAAATACGATCTTTTTGTAAATTTTCTATAAAGTTTTAAAAATTATGTACGTACAATATATATTCTCTTAATAGAGTATTGAACTACATAGCAATAAAATTATACGTAGTTAAATACTTAATAAACATTTATACAACATATATTAAATATAATTTATCAAACGTTTGAAGTTGGAAATGAGCCAAGCAGCAGGTTTATCGGTGACAAATAGATGATTATAATAAAGCCCAAACTAAAAAGGGGTTAAGCTAAACATTGGATTTTAGTGGTTCAAGCATTCTTATGGTACCAATGTAAAAAAAGTTAATGTAACTGTCAATGGATAAAGCCGGCAATGTGCGATTCGTCGAATTATGTTGCATCACTTATCTGTTATGAAAAAAACGGCGGCGTATCGGCAACAATCGATTCTGGGTTGTGTAATTAACAAAAAATTTATGATTATGAATCAGCCCCCAAAATGTTGTGACCCTGTCGCAGAACACATATCGTACACTCGTCCAAGTTCTAAAAGTTCTAAAAGTTCTAAAAGATTTTAGAGAACCGAATGACCTTTATTCTAATATACATGCATGTACAGTGTTTAGCAATTGGACCAACTTAATTCCAATGTTCCAGTTCCAATTTATAAGTCCAGTAGACTTAAAGATTCCAATTGGAACATACTATATAAGTCTAATTCCAACTCCATAAAGTCTTGCTGAGATATATCTTCAGTTAAGGTTTGGAAAAAAATAAGACTTTTTTTTTTTTTTTTATTTGAATCTTACAGACATTAATTGAAAATGTTAGACGATATATAGATGTGAGTACTGCGGCGAAGGTCACGTTACAGCATTTCTAGGGGTTTTCTTTTGATTTGGTTTGAAAGTTATTTTAAATTTTGTTTATTTTGTTTATAAATTCACGATTACACAAATATATACTAATTAATAAAAAAGTGGATTGTATTTTTAGATGATCATGATGCAGTTGTTTATGCAATTTTAAAATTATATTTTTAGAATAAGAATTTCACAAATTAATTTAAGATGAAACATTTGGCGTATTTATTCGACATAAAAACATTATAGAAAAGGGGACACTTGGGCTTAAAATGTTTAAATGTTGCATCAAGGAAATCAAGGAATCGAATTGGTCAGGATTAAATATAATGGAATTTTCGGAAAGATCGTATTTATCCTTGTCTTTTTAGTAATGGTAATGTGTAATATTGCTTATTTATTCTTTATCGTTATGCATT